AAAAACCGACACTTACACCCTGGCTGCCTTTGCACTCTGAAGCCAGCTTTTCCCTTGTTCTTTCTGTAACTCCTCGGAACTAAAGGCAATTTAAAAACACGACATTATTTCAAAATCTTCACTTCTTTGTCTTGGAATCGTCCTCGCATCTTCCAGGGGCTGCTATGTGTTTTTTTTCAATTACCAGTGTATAATTTCCTTTGATCAAAGCAGCCATAATTTACACCTTAATCAGAAAGACATAATTTTACATGGAATTTCCCGATACGTTATTCCCTTGAGAGGGTTTCATAATGACACGCTTGAAAAGCACTGTTAATTCATAACATCTTTTATCACTAAATGACTTGCGTTTTACGACACCGGAAGTGTTTCCACATCGGTAGTTAGTTCTGTCGCTAACCAGTCGCGACTAGAAGTTAAGGACTGACATAACTGTACTTTTGTGATATATCAAAACTTTCTTTTTTTTTATAAACAACAGAACTTGATCCCAATTAAGGCAATCGTTTAGTTTTGAATTAGGGATATCTGAAACATTTGACGGCTAACACTGGCTTGCTTATTTGATGATTGACAGTAAAAATATTGCGTTTTTGACGGTTGACGGTTAATATTTTGGCCATTTGACGGTTGGCGCGGGTTAACCCCATTGAGACTCTCTCTTAAGATAACTAGTAAAATCAAGTCAAACAACAAGATGCTGATAAAACTATTCAAGGAAACAATTTGGTTTTATCAACTGAGTCGATGCTGGAAATTTGCCGCCGCAAAGAGTTCCCAAGACTGGCATTTCCAGGGCTCGACACTAACTTTTCTACTAACTAGCCAAGTGACTAGTGACATCTTAGATGTTTTTAGATGTTACGACAATTTCAGTCTGTTTACTAGCCAAACTGGCTGGTGGAAATTGAAAACCATTAGCTAAAACTGAATTTCTACTGGTCTGTGGCTAGTGGCCTACCGTTAGTGTCGAGCCCTGCATTTCGAGCGTTAGACCTTCGTCTGCCTAATAGTTCAGAGAGCCAGAAAACTCTAGAACACTGAGAAATTTATCTTTCAAATCGGCACTCGTAATGATATCGTAAATGGTATCAACAAACACTTTTCACTTAACTAATTTACTCTTGTTTTTCGCGTTTCCTATTCCCACCAATAGCAAAACACCATTTTCTTCACATAAACACACACGCGACCCACAATTCCGTTATTCGCTCTGACGATGTGCTCAGGTTCCAAACGCCAGCTTTAGAAACTCTTTACGGTGACAAAATTAACACAAAAAACTGAGTTGACAAAATCAAATTCTCCTTTTAAACCCCCTCACCGGCGCAGCACCACAGTTTCTTTAGAAATTTTCCCCTTTTATTCAAGGAGACACTAACCTTGGTAACAGCTTTAAAACAACTCGTCTCAAATTTAAGATTGGTTCTCTTGTGCGAAATGATGTCTACAATACAGATGGTACACGATAAAAAAAATAAATAAATAAAAAAACCCTCATTGTTAACATATCACAAGCAGTTCTGACAGGAGTGCTCTGAGTAAAAATAAGAAAAAAATAAATATACCGTGAGCCATCAGATCTTAGATCTCATCTATCAACTATGATAATAATAATAATAATAATAATAATAATAATAATAATGATAATGATAATGATAACTACTGTCACAGACCTGCGAAATGTGCAAACGTGACTGCCAGCTATTTGTCACGCCCATTGTTTGGATACCATCAGCCTCTAGAAGGAAGTTCCGCTGCACTGCTTCCTCAACCTCACGTAGCATGTGAAGCCTTCATGTCACGATCGGTTAAAAACGAAAAAGAAGTGAACATCGTCGTAAAAATAAAAAAAATTAGGACTTTTCCAACAGAGAACCATACCACACGCACTTAGTGAAATGCTTGTAAAATGCAATCTACATAGGTAGAAGGGACGACTGGTTTTAAAGGCCGGCAAAAATGCTGCAGTTTATGATGAGTTTCTCAAACGCTCATTATCGTTTGTTTTTGCATTCGCACATTGTAACTGTAAAATGGATGTCAAGACTCTAATAGTCCGACAGTTCAAAATGTTTGGAATAGTATTGCACGTCTTGTGCTGTCAAGGCCCCTCCCATCGCCCGCTCTCCTTTGCTAGATTTATTGGGTTTCGTAACCATTTAATTCAGCTATCCAGGGTTACCTTTCGTCTTCTATCTCCAATATGTAGCACAGATGGTAAAGTTTAAAGACAATTCCTTTAATTAGTGTTTTATATCAAACAGAAATATGGACAACCCCGCCAGGAGTTCCATGCGGCTCATTACTAGAGCATTCGACCATTGTTCCAGAGAACATGGAAAAACATGGAAGAAGAGATAATATAGCACGAAGAAACAAACATAACTCTGGATAGAGAAGTCCATTAAAATGGATGGCAAAGGAAGCAATTGAAAATCTCAGCTGAATTTTTCTACACGATCTAAGAAGGACGATGCCGCTTCAATTACTCACATTTATTCACATACCTGACGATATGCTCATAACCGCGTTGATAGGACCCAGACTCCATGCTTGCGGCGGACAGGAATCCCATCTGTTGACTGCGAACTACCTTTAGTTGACGTCTAAATTCGTTCTCGTTCTTGTAGTGAAAGATATTCAAACAAAGAAAAAGCTAACAATTTTTTCCTGCTGTTGTGGCACTTATTCATGCTCTTGACATAAAGCATAAGTATCTTGGATGCTAAGTCATTGCAAGTAATTTCCTAGTAATAAAATAATTTTTTATATAGATCAACAAAGTTGAAATGGTAAATTGGCCACCGTTACGATTATAAAGGCTGACGTTTCGAGCGTTAGCCCTTCGTCGGGGCGAATGGTAATCAAGTCAAGTAATCAAGTCCAGTAATCAAGTCAAGTTTCAATGAGAGATCACTGGCACCCATTTCCTTCCTACCCAATAACTTAACACAATGACTGGCTCGAACCCACACCTTTCTAGCGACTAAGCATCAGGCGACTACTTACAAAAGAAATCGATAAGCAACGTTATCGTCAACACAAAACCTACAATAAAAATGCTATTCCTAAGCAGGTTCCTATCACGAAAAACAACGAGAATTGCAAGAAACAATAACCGAAACCTTTTCTTTGGCAGCTAACAGGATTCTTCCTAATCCAACATCCCAGTCACCAACTCCTCTTTCCTGAATGCATAAAAAGATTTATAACATAACCAAAGTAANGTTCTAACCTTGAAGGAGGTAAGACTGGGTTTGACTCACAATAGACTAAGTTACCATCCTATTGGAAGACGCCATTCTCCAAGATCTGTCTCGGTGTGAAGATCGGCCACCAGAAAGAGTTCATTGTCATGAAAAGGCAGGCCAACTCATTGTTCTCACTGCTCGCTGATGGAAAATACCGAAAAACAACAATGGGCCGCGACACGTGGAAGACGCTTATTGGTCCGCAGGCGTCCTTGCAGCACAACTGCAACATAGAAAGGTTTAATGCTAGGGGTAGCAAAGGCTACTCCAGAGCAAGGAATGGTTTCCTTGGCAAAAACGGGAAAGACTGCGTAACCCCCGATTCTAGAATTGGCTTTGGTACAGGAGGATACAAAGATGACTCCAATACATGCGGAAATGTAGCAGCACACTCGACTGATACTGGAAACAAGTACATCAAAGCCATGGGGTACATCCTGGTGCAGTGACAGGAGACTCAAATTGCAAGCTAAGAAGCCACCATGGATGAGAAAAATGTATTGTCCTAAGGCTTACTAGCTAATAAAACAACTGGTTCAAAATGATCTTCTCCTCTGGTCAGATTTGTCTTCAAATCTAGTCTAACTCGTCTCAATTGTGTGAAACCAATTCGGGTTTTAATCAAGTTGTCTGTGAGCCACACAGGTCAGAAATTGTATCATAACATAACCAAAGTAAAGCGCGCGCAATTTAGCGTCCCCCATTTGCCCATGGGTTTACGCTGCTGGCGTGAGCAAATGCAAAAACTTTTTTTCCGCGCGCGATTGTTTTTTCTGGACACGTAAGATTTGTTAAATAAAAGGAAACTCTTTCGCTACAGTGTATCAATGTTATGTTGTAAAACAAATGGTAAACACCACAGCGTACACTATTGAGTTATGGATGCACTTGGGAGGTTTGCTAAGCACTCAAGAAGCTAGAATCGCTCTTGGCTATCGCCTCGCGCAACTCTTACGCTTCCTTCGCTCTTAGCAACCATAACTCACTAGTGTACGCTGTGTTGTTTACTATTTGTTAAAAAGTATAAACTAATAACCTCAACAAGGCTTTGGAAATGCATAGAACAGCGCATAGAGAAGGAATGCAAGAATAATTCATTAAAAGATCGGTACGTAGGAGTTGCATCCTGTCAGAGTAAAAAAATTCGAGTTACCTTTGTTGTAACTCGAGAAAAAAAACCCTCGTCTAGGTTGTTCAAAGTTTAGTAAAGCTAATCCAAAACACCCACTTTAGCAAGTTCTCAGTACGGAGTTCTGATTCAATGTTCTGTACTTCAACACTGTTACTTGCGCCAAATTCCAGACAAGCTTAGGCATAAAAATTCACCGTATTCACAAAATGCACTGATAAAGAGGTAAGGATGAGCAATCGGTGCTGATAGTCTTCGAAATTTCTTGACGTGTTACAGGCGCATTTACAATAACGTGAAAAGTCAATTAATATTATTAAAGTAATACCAGTTTAAGATAACTTTCAAGAGAGTCCCATTGGCCTAGTCTCCAGGAAGCCTCAACACGGTAGGCGTTCAGCGACTTCTCCCATTCAGGTCTGAGATCAACGAATTCAAAAGGCATTAGCTACCATATTACCGTATCAAAAATCAAAAAGAAGCACACTATCATCAGATTATAAGACAGTGGTAAGAAAAAGAAAAGTATTAGTAGGTAGAGTAACTTCTGTAGGAAGGTATTGCATGAAAGGCCGAATACGCTTTGAGGATATAATGAGACATGGCTGGCAAAGCTTTGAAACTTCGAGGTTATAGAGTTGCCATAGGTGTAGAGTCCTTTGTGGGAACTCAAACACTGGCCAGGTTCGATTACCCACGGTAGGATAACGAGTAAGTTATAAAATCCAACTTATGCACAGCTCACGTAACATTAGTCTGTCATTGTGGTTACTATTTCAACAAACCTGCGAGTAACAACTCCATCCACGTGAGTAAGAGCGGTGGTCACCTGACCAAGATCAATAAAACACTGCAACAAGCCCTAGAAAAGGAGTAAGGAACAGTATAAATGATAATAAAAATCCTCCTTGAAAGTTGTTACAGATTTGTCTCAAACGTGTGGCATAGAAAAAAACGAGTTCCCTAGAACTGTTCCAACCTCAGCCAGTTATGGTTTCCGAACTCTTTGGTGAGCCACGCCATATACTAGGTTCAGTAGTGGCCAGCGTCCAACATACATTTGTACAGCTAAGATAAGTAATTTCAAACTCGCAATGACTCTAGAAATCTTGTTTGAGAGTTGACTCTCAAAGTGTTATTTGTGAGTTAGGAATTACAATTTAAAAACAATTACAATTTAACAACAGAGCTCGTTTTTGAAACAGATGAAAAGATGTTAAGTCCAGCTTCAACAAACCCTGTCCTCACCTTGTGATGTCCAATCTCACCCGGTTCTTCTTGAATTGCTCTCTCGTAACGAGCAGAAACGTCACATAATTTTCCTACACCATTGAGTAACAAAAATTGCTAGTCCAAGCACAAGAATGTATGTTGATTAGTTTTTATTCAAATTTAAACCTACATTCTCTCGGCTGAAACAGCACCTGACCAAGTAAAACTTTGTAAGATAAATAACTTAGGGGTTACAGTTTGTACTGCTTATTTGGATGTTAGTACAAATTTTGGGGTGTAGTTTTATATCTAGCAGTTTTCATTTTCAGCCAAAATTTGGCAGATTCATTTCAACAACCAACTTGAGAGACAAACATCTTTACAAAGGACAAGGCACAATTACCTCAACCCTTTCACTCCGAAGATCTCACCATGAATTCTCCTTTTTATCTACTATACAATTCTTATGAGGTCAGTTTGGAGAAATTGGTATTGGATCCACTACTAATCCTCTAATTGACATCATTCTTTAGTTCTTATTAACCGGGCGGGAGGTCTGTATGGGAGAATCTCGACCGAGGTCAAGATTCTCCCATACAGACCGACCTAGCTCGGTTAATAAGTTGTTTCTTATATGGCTGCGCCAATTTTTTATATTCTTTGTACCTTTTTTTTTCTAGACCGGTCTAGACGCCGGTCTAGATGGGAAAATCTAGACCGCTTTCAGTACTGATTTGAGCCAATCAAATTCGTGAATTCGGTAGTTCCCAGTCCTTGTGAGACACAGCCATATAACAATTATTTTTATTATTGGTATGCTTCTTATTGCTTGATCTTGCGGAGATTTCTGCCTAAGTCACTCATGGGAGTTAAAGGGGTCTGAAAGAGTTACGAGCTATGACCTCTCACTACCTTATCTCGAGTGTGAACAAGTGTTAAGAGAGTGAGCAAGTGTGAGTGTGAAGAAGTGTGAACAAGGGTGAAGCCATGAAGCCTAATATAGTTAAAAGGGTCTTACAGTACCTGAGCTTTTCTGATCAAGGATCTGTTCATGGAGAGTGGGTTCCTGCTTCCTGCTGGCTGCAACCCCAGCAACTCCATCAGGTTCGTCCAAAACTATGTAGAGCTTCTGTACAAATCCCAGATGCTGGTGGACATCTTGCTTCTGACTCGAGATGAATGCTTCAAAGTGCATTAAGGCACGGGCATATGCCTTACAGTGGAACGATGCGTAGGCCAGCACATCCTGTAACATAATGAAGATTTCGAACCACTTTTACTGCAAACACAAACGTCAAAATCACCCGCCTTCCTTCCAATCCAAGCAAAAGAACCAAGTCAAGTAGATCCCCACAGATACAATCAATGCGTTCGCCTCGCCCACAAACTAATTTCAAAATTCAGCATCATTTAGTAGTGAATTCAAAATCCGAAGCAAACTCAAGTTTATTTGAATGTGAAGCCAATGTCTACATTGAAAATTAAATCCTTCCGAGCATGAGCCACTTTCTGATTTACCTGGGGAATTTTTTCCAGGAACTTTTCTACGGCTTTCTGCTCATCTTGAATATCTAAAATACATAAAGAAATAAGTAAGGAAATAACTAAGTAAATAAGGAAGAAAATTAATAACACGCACGTTTAATCTTCAAGATGGAAAGCTTTTTGACGTTTTTTTTCCTTTCGATATCATTATTACATGACCAATCATGCTCATTTACCCACGTTATTTGGCATCAGGTGAACCTGGAAGTAAAACCGATCGTTTCCTGTCAAGTCCAAGTGAGGGTAGCCAAACTACTCTTTCAGTTAACCTCAGTTTGCATATCCTCCAAACTGCTCTCTATACATTTCATAAGACGCTGATCGGGACCGATATTTTTAGGAGAAACTAGATGCCAGTTACTCTTAACGATCAAAGCGTTATGGTCAAATCAAGTGTGATTTCACTATCACTAACAACTTTCCTCTTTAGGAATACCCTCACGCGAACGATGACGCACAACATGAAAGCATTATGATAAAAGTGCATTATCATCTGATCAGGGTTCCCTATGATATTTACCTTCGATTATTATATGGCTGTATCTCACAAGGACTGGGAACTACCGAATTCACGAATTTGATTGGCTGAAATCAATATTTAAAGTTAGTTCCATTTTCTGCCTTTACAAGCACACACAACCCACAATTCCTCTATTCGCTCCGACGAAGGGCTAACGCTCGAAACGTCAGCTTTTGTAATTGTTACGGTGGCCAATTTACCATTTCAACTTTGTTGATATATCCAAATTATTTCGTTACTCCCACCGACGCAGCCCCAAACAGTTTCTTTCGGAACTATCAGCCTTTAACATTTAAAGTTGTCCAGATTTTCCCACCTAGACCGGCATCTAGACCGGTCTAGAATAAAAAGGTACAAAGAATATAACAAATTGGCATACAAGACANGAGACCTCCCGCTCGGTTAATAAGAACTAATTAGTAAGAGGAAATGTGGCCAAAAATCGAACATTTTCAAAATATGGTGGTAACAGCCGAAAAATCGATTCGGCTCATATTTTCAAGTTGGGTAGGCCTTATGGGGAAACAAAGCACTGCATACTTCGTTTGGCTGAATATCGATTTATTTTCGAGAAAATCGATAATAGCTGAATTTCGTCCAAATGCCGCTTTTAAAGCTCAAAATTTCAGACGAATCTCGGAGCGTCCCGCCACGAATTGAAAACATTTGGACCGATGACAACTACCAAATCTTGAAAAACAACATCAATACATAATTTGACAGCAATTTGAGCAATTCTTTATCATTTATTTACACCGCGTAATTGAATTTATCCGACCTTCTTCTAACAAGATTAAAAATAAGTCAAAAGTAACCTGTTATTTAACTATGTGCTATACAAAATAATCGACTGAAAATCTGGCTTTTGGAAGGTGAAGTGGGGTTCTTTTCGATCTCCAAAGGATTTTTTGGGGAAAAGATTCTCAGTGCGATTTAATCAAATTTTATAGTTGGATAAATTGAGCTGATTTGACAATGCCGTCAGTTATTCGAAAATGTACACATTCACACACAAACTCGATTGTTTCGCATTTTACATCCAATCTACAGCTTATTTAATATAATATCATCTTACCATCCATACTGCTGTACACTGTGACTTCGACAGACGACCCAGAAAACGGGAAACAGTAATTATACCTCTTCTTGCCTGTTCAAGGCGGATTGAGAGCAATTCCGCTAGTCTCGGTTTTTCCTGGCCAAAAGATGAAGTTGACCTAGTTCTTAGCCGAGCTGCCATATTCTCTCCTCCTGCTGACATACATTCCACGACAATTTGTCCCTCACTTAGTGCAAAGTTTGGTTTGGGGTGAACGAGAGGCTCTAGTTCGAGGCGCAGAGTTCCTTCTGATATATCAAACCATGCTCAATAATATAACGCCATATGAAGCATTGATTGGCTCTGGACTTCTAGAAGAAGTAGTCATTCACTTCTTAAATTTATTATCTTGGAAGGAAGGATTTAAGGAGATAGGCACAACATGGGTTTGTTTACTTTCTTTTTTCTGGTTAAATCTAGATGTCAATCTTTTCCCGATGGGCGTGAACATTCTGGTCTGACCAGACAACAGGCTTATGTTAAATTTTTCATTACGCATCAGCCACCAGCTCTATCATATTTCGCCATATATTGCATTGATGGCTTTGGACCCGAC